GACAGAGAATACCCAGCCCGTTCACCCAGGGGCACACCGAATGAGATTGCTGCTTCTCTCCATACCTACATCACGACAGGAAGGTCTGCAAGACATCTTATCTCAAGGATACGCGAGGTCTTGATCTCACCCCACTATGTGCAGATGCATCTCATGGAATCAGCTCTTTGGCACATCCTCATGAAACCCCCTTATCGACCACCTAGCGATGGATTCCATGCCATCCAATTCAAATTTGAGTGTCAACTCTTTGGGCCCCTTCAAGGTATCGGAGATCCTCAACTCGTTAAAATGGGCTCCTTGCCGGCCATTACTGGCACCGCAAATGACTGCGTTTACACCACGATATCTGAGTATACAGTGAAGCAGTGGCCTAAGTGCGGCGAACTCCTCCTGGGATGTATCGAAGACGCCGTCAAAGAAGCTTCAGCGTCGAGCTGCGAGGGCCACTCATTCACCGGCATGTCGATTTGGGATGGTACCGAAAACCCATTCTTATGTCCTGGCCTACGCCTGCTGCATGTCGAAGTCGAAGATGGCTCAATACGCTTGACAGTATCGGCATGGACCCACACCATGATAGAGATATTACAGCAGATGGCGTGGACTTGCGCAGCACTCAGCTCCTCACCCTTTCAAGGTTCCCTCTCTGAGAGCGCCATTGAAGTGTCGGATTGGCAGTACATGGACGATTCAATCTTTGTCGAGTGTAATCTTTCTCATCGACCTGTGCCAGCAGGAGATGGTTCAGCGTGGCTGAAGCAGCTGGAAGGGGCTGCTATTGCAAACGGGTTCCCGATAAACCATGTAAGGGAAGATTCTCAGATGACATAGAGTGGAGGTTACGAGGGCCAAAAGGCATGAGTATATGACAGAGCTTTTATTCTAGATAAAATGATACCCGTAATTAAGCATTGAATGGTCGTTCAACAATTCAATCTTTGAGAGATTCACGTAATGGTAGGCTTAGAGGATCTCGTATATTCTGTCTGTCTTTGAAGAAGTGACATTGACAAATGGTCTCGCTCCTGGCAATGCCAGATCCGACGACCGCCTATCCTCCTTCGAATTGCGGGCATGAGAATGTTTTCATGCATTCCAACAATAATCAATATGTCTTTGGAGGTTGTTGATCTTGTTTGGTTGGGCAACCAGGCCGTAGATCGGAGGACATAAGAACAGGCTCATGCGGCTTTCTGTAAATGCATCCTTCCCGACGTTGTACTTCTGAGTGGGCGACATAATGGTCTGGACGCCTGAATTTTGTCGGTGTGTTGTTGTTTGTGGGGTTCTGTTTCATTGCGTAATTGAGTTCCGAACCGTGTTGGGCGAGAGTCAGCCAGACCAGATACGGCCTGTCCGTAAGAACATGATTTCTGTTGGGGAGACGAAGAAGGATCTTCAGCGTTCTAACAGGATATGCTTCCACTCGTGAGTCCATTAGTTGGGCTCTGAGGAAATGCCTTGAATATTCGTTCGCGATGACTGTCGACCAGCCTCAAAACAGTAGTACATAGATCCACTATCAACGGCATCGTGGTGTTGCTGTCTGATAAGGTACATGACAGTGGTAACATGACGGCTAATTGAGCGGTTTCAAGGTGAATCTTGCTCTCCCACAAACCCCAGCTTGATGCTGTCGAACATGATGACTTGTAGTGGCTTAGAAACGTGATAGCGATAAGATCACTGTTCGGTCGACTTGTAATCCATTTCATATCCCTGATCTTTTTGTTAGTTAATGTTTCCGGTGTACATTTACACAGCTAATTACCTTGTGATTCGTCAACCAAGTCTATCCAACCATTTCTCCCTTATCCTCCACGGTAACACTAAAGCCAACTCCACCCGTCATCCTCCACAACTCTGTATTCGTATACGGAACTGGCGTCATTGTAGATGCGTAGTCGTCAAATAATGATCGAAATTGGCAGTTCAGCTGCAAAGAAATATGTCTTCACTTGAACGGGCAGGAATGTCGATTGCGAGGTTCTTCACGGATAGCTTGGCCGCATGATTATGCTTATTACTGTCGCTCGAGACGGTGTCTGGCGGGATGGCGATGGAGGCTAGGGACTAATATCTAATCGGACTATGCTAACTGAAAGACGGCGGATGATGTGAATCGAGTCACAGAAAAACCGAATGGATAAGCCTCAGGACGAGAACTAAATGGAGAGAGGCATGGCGTTGTCAGTTTCGCGTCCACAGACACTGATACATACCATTCTCGGCAGGTCGATTATCCATCCATAGGTAGGTTATATCCTGGCAAAATACACGGGATGGTGGATTGCGTGGCAGTTATTCCTTGCTGCGTATGCGGCTGGACATGTCTATTCCTGGGATCACGGTTAAAATGATCTGACGCTGCTGAAAGAAAGTCGGTGTCGACCTGATCTGAGCTTGATTTACTGATTGATTTCCTGCTTATCGTTGGACCGTGCCAAGAGTGCGTGCGAATTGAAGCTTTGGCGGATTATCATGGGATCGCATCACGTGGAGCCTGTTCTGGTACTGGGAATGAAGTCATTGCGCATCGAGCTTATTCTCGCTTCGTATTGCGTTCACTGCAAGTTTGGGAGGAGAGATTCCGGATGGACGAGGTGGAAAAGAGAGTCAGAAAAGAAGTTATCGTGATCAATCGGTTCAGTAACATGCGAATCATCCAGTTTTACTGTTCAAGTCGTCGTTCTTAGACTGCGTTTCGGCGCTCGCCTCTCGGCGGTCGAGTTCGTTAAAAAGGTGGCATGCTCGCTTGAGTGAGCTGATAATTCACGCTCTAGCCAAAACTCCAGCTGGGCACTGAGTGAGTGAGTGAGAGAGAAAGACGGGAAAGCCAGGGATTAACGGGATCCATCCCAACATCTCCACTTGATGTCGCCTGTTGCCGACCCCACTATCGGATGTTGACGATGGCCATGTAAGACACGAGGAGAAAGATGAAGACAATGATGAAGGTGAAGCTATTGAAACAAAAGCAAAAGAGATAAAGAATAAAGAAAAGTAGAAGGATTTAGCACTCTATACTGAGGCTGGATGGAGTTGTATGGACAAGTGATCCCCAGGAGTGGAGGGGTGGCCGAGATGCAGAGATGCCCTCTTTATGTGGGAGTCGTCTCCTTGCGGCAGCGTCATGAAAAGAGCATGGTACATTTACATGAATTCAGGTACAAGGGACATGTCACAAGGAACCTGGCACGCGCTCTCTGCCCATGGGGAGTCAGGCGTATCGCGCACCATCACGGCAGTCCCAACCTGGTCTCAACAGCATGACGCTGGTACGATATCAGCGGTAGCATAACCAAGACCCTAGCTCGAGCCGATCTCGACAAGAGGATTCCTGTAATCATGACTGATTGACACCCATCTGATACCAAAGGCGTCTCGATCGACTCGGCGCATCAAGGTGCGAGCTAGCAGCAACTCAACTAGCCAATCGACCAAGCACTTCCCCTCAGTTTGATGCCACAAGGTTTCACGCGGGCGTTGCTGAGGGAGGGGAACGGGAGATGATGATTGATTGCAGGAGAGTCTCCATCGATGTCGTCTTTACGACAAAGGTGCCTCTCACTCCTTAGCTACGACCTTAGGATGCTGTTGGTGCATGTCCAGACGCAGTAGTGCAGTCATGTCTAGGACATATCGATAGTCAGGTGAGCTGTAAGTTGAAGCCAACAGGCGCCAAAACAAAGCGCAGCACCGCACCGCATCCGCGAGCCGAAGTCTCCGGGGGCCACGGGATGAATGAGCCTGTGAGGGGCAGAAACGCAACTGGCGATCCCTCGTCATAGCTCATGACAAGGGGACAAGGGAATGAATGGATGGCATCCATGGCTGAATCGAATCAAAGTGCCAATCTTGTTGGTATGTACCCCTCTCGAGATCTGCTTCTGTATCTTCCTTCACCTTTCATTTCCCTATTCTCTCACCGTATCGACATTGATGATTGAATTGACCTCATGATTCTACCGCGGCCTTCCGCGAGCGTCAATTGCTCAGTGTCCACTCACCCACTCGGTCACTCGATCGACCAGGCCCATTTGCACACGCGCCACAACCCACAACGACCGATCGCAGTGGGTCTCAGCACAAGCTTTCCCCGGATTCTGGTGCGCTGCGCTAACCCAAGATGGTCTTCAAGCGGGTACCAGACCGGTACATAGAGCGGGTTCCCTGCGTCAGTGGGTTTGCATCGCGCCGGCGCTAAGCCCGTTGCGGCTCCAGGTCTGGTCTGCTGAGCTTGGAGCCAGGGGCGTCACGCCTTCCGTCAGGCCAAAGTCACGCGATTGTTCAACAGCGTTTATCAGAGCACAGCACAGCGCAGCGAAACACAACGCAACGCAACATTGTGTAATGATGGAATCCACAATAACTTGAATGCATCCGTAGGTGCTTGTAACTGTACATCGACTAGAGCAGCATTGAATTGATTTGGTTCGAGGAACGGAGCGAGGCGCAGGCGCAGGCACAGACTGCTATGTTACCACAATCATACCCATACCCCCCTAGGTCTCGTCCTTCCCTTCCCTTCCGGGTGAGGTGTGAGGTGGGCAGTTACCCCGCCCAGTCTGACGACAGCTCAGTAACTCCCTAGGGATGGTACAGTACAGTGCAGTAGAGTAATGCATGCGATTGAGTAAGTGAAGCCTTGGATGACTGAGGATTTGCATGCCCCAATGCGAACATCGGACATAGACGACGCCGAATGGCAAGTGCGTTTGTGAATGCAATAAGTAACAACCACTTCCCCTCCATCTGGTCCTTCCCCTCTCCTCCCTCCTCACCACAGCACAACAGCAATCCAACCCAACCTCACTTACAATCTTCTGCTTTTCACGCAAAAGGTTCGTACTTCCTCTCCACTCTCATATACACCATCATTCCTCCCTCCGATACCTCTTTTCTGCTGCAACATCATCACTAACATTACTCTCCTTTCTAGCAGAATCAGCTATCAAATCAGATCTTCTCGATCAAACACATAACAACAACTCAACATGACAGAACCTCTCTCCAAGGTCGATTCAGCCGTCCAGGGCCTCTCAAGCTCACCTCCCGCCAAGGATGACAAGAAGACGCGGCGACAAAGCTCAGCAGCAGCACCTGGCGTTTACAACGTCAATGACCTTGGTAAGCTTAGATATCACCACCCTTCCTCCTTCCGACATCGGATAGGCCACGAGGGCACCGTTTAGAACTCTCTCTAACCCTTTTCTTTAGAGGCCGAGGGCATTGACCTCGAGCTCGCACCCGAGACTCAGAAGACTGGATGGTGAGTTTAACCCCGCATTTCGACTTACACATGCATGCATCAAGAAACAGCCACTGACCCATTCGCATAGGAAGATCAACACCAGCCCCAATACAGTAGAAGACCCTGCCATCCTTAAGCTTCACCTGTCAAAACCGCCCGTCAAGAGAATCGACCTTCACTTCCCACTAGGAAAGGAGGTAACAGCACGAAACCTCAAGGGTGTAACAATCAAGGATGCACTAGACGCTATCCACAAGGCATATAAGAAGCGGGTATGTTTGGACCTCTGAGACCTCCTCCCAACGAACACTTACTGACTGACATACCTAGGCCGACGATGAGCTCGACAAGCCCTACCTCGCTGGTTTCGAGTGGGACAAGGAAGAGTCATGGACCCGACTTGTTGTTCACCTTCAGGCTCAGCCCACAAGCACAACGTTGGGCGGTCCTGCCGGCGGTGGCAAGAAGAAGAAGAACAAGAAGCAAGACGAGTAATGACTTGATCGCACCCCGGTATCTGTCCCAATAGTTCCTATAATTCTTGTTCGTTTCGCTGGTTTCGTTGCGAGTCGGCGCTCGGGATATTGCGTCTAGATATTCTCGGCCTGGTCATGATGTTTGCGACTGCTGGAAGCGTCGCTTGGTGTACACCTCTATAGTTCTTGCTATCGCTGGTCGATTCGGTCGGCGTTTGAGGTTCCATGTATCGTGGTTCCTTGATATAATTTATAAATTCCCCACACAATTGGATATTCATAATGCTGTGAAGTTAATTGTCAATTGACGTTGAACTTGAGAAGACATGATGAGCCTGTTGCCCACATGTTCCCCGGCTTAAGCTCCTCACTCATGAGGCCCACATGAGTTACCCCGCGGCGATGGCTTCGGTTACCTATAATCGGAAACCCTGGAGCTAGTTTCCGATCGGAAATCTCCAAGGCCCAGCTACATACACCTTGGTTGATATAACTAATCAGCTTCCATATCCTACAGAAACTTATTCCGGTCATATGCGAGAGAATCAGCTGTTATCGGGTTTATTCCCCTCTGTCATGTAACATTCATCAGCGGAACACAGGCGCAATGCTTCCCCGGCTAACGTCGGGCCGTTTTCCATACTCAGTGCGGAATTGACAGTTGACGGCTTACACGGCTACAGAACGTCATCCGTTGATCGAGACAGGAAGTTCGCAAAGCCGTGGGAACACAGTTATAAGCTTCTTGTTCGCACATTTACTGAGGGGAAACGACACTCCATCTCAAACAGACAAAAGATACCGCCAAGATGCCTGTCACAACCTTTGATCTCAAGGAGAAGTACAAATATCAGAATGGCTTCAACTGCTATTTAGAGTGAGTATCATTTCTTCTCTGCGCGAGTTGCGAATATTTTCTGATCATTTGCTAGATCTGAAGCTGTTGATGGTGCTTTGCCCATCGGACACAATTCGCCTCAGAAGCCACCATACGGTCTCTACGCCGAGAAACTCTCCGGAACTGCCTTTACTGCACCGCGACATGAGAATAAGCAGACATGGCTATACCGCGTTCTACCATCCTGCGCGCATCCTCCTTACCAAGAGGACACAAAGTCAACAGGCGACACTAACAAGACTCTCGACGGCGCTGAGGATGGAAAATTGCACTACATTCCTAACCAGCTCCGTTGGGATCCCTTTGACCACAATGAATCAAAGAATCTAGACTTTGTCACTGGCCTGAGGCTCGTTGCTGGTGCTGGAGATCCTACACTCAAGGAAGGACTGGGTATGTATATCTATGCCGCTGGGAAGAGCATGGATGAGAAATCAGCATTCTACTCTGCCGACGGTGATCTTCTCATCGTCGCACAAGAGGGCGCTCTTGATATCCGCACCGAGTTTGGTTGGCTTCTTGTTCGACCTATGGAAATCGCTGTCATCCCCCGCGGTGTCAAGTATCAAGTCCATCTTCCCTCTGGCCCAGCCCGTGGATATGCTCTTGAGCTTTATCAAGGCCACTTCAACCTCCCTGAGCTTGGCCCAATTGGTTCACACGGCCTTGCCAATGCTCGTGACTTCCAGTCTCCTGTTGCTTGCTTTTCTGAAGACTTTGGAGCTACTGCTTCTGAGGGGTCTAGCAAGTATACTGTTTCTGTCAAGTTCAACAATAACCTCTTCAAGACTGTGCAAGCTCACACTCCCTTCGATGTGGTGGCTTGGCATGGAAACTACTATCCTTACAAGTACGACCTAGGACGGTTCAACACCATCGGCACTATCTCCTTCGATCATCCTGACCCATCTATCTTCACCGTTCTCTCAGCACCAACCAACACCCCAGGTACAGCCGTAGCTGACTTTGTAATTTTCCCACCACGCTGGCTCGTTGGTGAAGATACGTTCAGACCACCGTGGTATCACCGAAACACGATGAGCGAGTTCATGGGTCTGATCCAAGGTGGCTACGATGCTAAGAAGGGCGGCGCAGGTGGTTTTGTCCCCGGTGGTGCAAGTCTTCACAACGTCATGAGCGGTCACGGCCCTGACGCAGAGAGCACAGAGGGTGCCAGGAACGCAGAACTCAAGCCCGCCAAGGTTGGAACAGGAAGTTGTGCATTTATGTTTGAGAGTTGCTTGATGGTTGGTGTTACACAATGGGGATTGAAGACATGTCAAAAGGTCCAGGAGGGATATAACGAGGAGAGTTGGGGTGGTGTTGTTAATCATTGGAAGATGCCCGAGGGACTCAAGGTGAAGCCTCATACCCTGTAAGAAACAAAATTGGCGAAGATATTTGAGTGCGAGTGACGATGAGCAAATTGTCATCTGATATGGGGCATTTTCCATTCAATTCCATTCGCTTTGGCCTAGATGCCTGTTCTTAGAACGACATTGGATGGCAAGTCCCTATCCTTGAACTCATCATCCACGTTATAAACCGTCTCAGAGCCCTCTTGCTTAAAGCCCAACTTCAAATACACGGACCTTCCCATGGTCGATGCCTCAGTAATGCACTCCAGATTCCTTCTCTTGGCCTCATCAAGGCCATATTGCACCATCTTGGATGCAAGTCCCTTTTTCTGGAACTTTGGATCAACAGCACAAAGATCCATTACAAAAACTGCAGGGGGAGATGCCTCAGCCTTCTCTTTGATGATCTCAATCCTTCGTCCAAAGAGTGACTTATCCGCCTGAGCAAGAAATCTCTGCTCCTTTTCGTTCCCAGGGTACAACTTCTTGAAATAGCCCGATGCTTCAAGATCACTAGGGGGATTGCCGTAGCCTGGAACAACAGAAGCTTGCTCCCATATCGCGAGGCCAGCGATGGTGTTGTCGATGGTGGCTTTTACAAAGATGGTGTTGGGTTGACCGTCCCGGTTCGTGGTGATGTGTGAAAAGCGATCAACTAGACGTTGAGCACCGACTTTCGCACCCTCGGGGGTATCCCAACCTGGGTTGAAGGCAATCCAGACGGCATCATGGGTTTGGTGGCCAAATGCATTAGCGACGGCTTTGAACGCTGCGGTGAAGTCGTCAGGATTGGTGATTGGTTCAACTCGGATATCTGAGGACGACATTTTGATAATGAGATTTTGGTTTCGTGAATAATAAGAAGAAGTGAGAGAGGGTATAAGTTTCCAGAGACTCAGCGGATAAATATGAGAAATTGTTTCACCAAGATTGAGGTATTAGTTCTCTTGAATGCATGATCCTTGATCCACTTCTCTCTCTTCAAAGCATAGCCCCGTGGGGTTCTTATATGGAGTCGTCCAAGAAAACGGTGGACAATACGAAATGAACTAGTGGCTTTATAGAGAGCTAGGGTAATTTTATGGTTATTTTACGATGAGTTGATGCATTGTGCTCTAATCTTAGTGGCCAGTTTAGGATAACTTAGGTGACCTCTGTTCGGCGTGAGTCACTATGTTCTGTAGGTCTTAAGATATATAACGTCAAAAGGGCATCTCACTTTGGGTTTAGTCTAGTTCACGACTGTTTCAGTTGTCATAATTGGCCTTGTTAATCATCAGAGCTAGTATCAGAATAGTCAATCTTTTACATATCCAAAGCTCGCGTCTAACTTGCCCGAACCGGTCAACTCCAAATAGTTCCAACCGATAACAGCCAAAAATTGCAATATTTGATCCTACTGATAATCAGAATCATAGTTGTTGCCCCAGCCTCCTCCACTGTATTGTCCGTCGGTAGCCTGCTGATCCTGCTCATCGCTGCTATAGCCATTATTCACTTCTTGATCACTCTCAACCTCTTGGTCTCTATCATAATTAACGGATCCTTGTGCAACCTGGTGCCCTTCTTCATCTTCAGAATCGTACTGTTGAACTGCTTGCTGTTGATGCTGCCCACTGTGGTAACCCTGCTGCTGATACTGTTGTTGATAGGGCTCTTCTTCAGATTCGCTTTGTTCAGGCGCTTGTTCCTGCGGATGGCCGCCATAGTAGCCCTGATAGTGTTGTTTCTGCTGAGCCTGGAGATTCTGTGGCTCATCCTCTTCCGATTCAGTTTGCTCAGCTACTTGACTGTGTTGATCGTAGTAACCTTGCTGTTGATATTGTTGGTGAATACCTTGCGGTTCGTCCTCTTCTGAATCGCTTTGCTGAGCTACCTGTTGCTGATATTGGCCATTGAAATAACCTTGTTGCTGATACTGAGGTTGGAAGTTTGGCTGGACATTTTCCTCGTATGCGGGCTCTTCAGGTATGGGCTGCTGGTATTGTTCATTCAAGTACCCCGGTTGCTGATACTGCTGGCCCATGTAACTCTGTTGCTGAAATCCCATAGACTGAACGGATTCGTCGAGCTCATCCTCAGATTCATTGTTAACAGACTCTTTCTCATCGGATTCGGAGTCGTCAGTACTAGCTTGGCCTGGGTCTGTGTCAAGGTCACTACCCGACTCAGCTTGCAAGTCCCGAGCACCAAGATCCTCTGCTTCTGAAGCTTCACTATCTGTAAAGTCGGCGGACATGTATGGACTATCCAGACCAAGTTCATCAGATTCCGAGTCGTCATGAATCGATTCTGCGTCTGACTCTCCCCACTCCGAGATCTCATCATCGGATGAAGCTTGACCTACAGAAACCTCGGAGTCTGAAAGCTCATACTCTTCATCGGACACAAAACCATCGGAGCCACTGTCGTTGATAGAGTTGGCCTCGTTTTCGGACTCAGAAAACTCCTCAGAATGATCTGACAACTCCACACGTGTTTCCGACTCCCCATCCGAGTCATATGCAGGTTGCTGGCCCATACCTGCATCCATGTGGATATAGCTGTTATCATCGGTGATGCTTGGATTAGAGTGATCTTCACGAATCTCGGAAGACAGGAAATAACCACCAGCGGCTCCAGCCAAGACGCCAACGCCGGCAGCTGCAGCCATCTTGCCACTGGACATACTACTCGTACCCGTCTGTTGTGTATTTGGGTCGTAGCTGTTTGGAAATTCTTTGGTTGACGTAAAAGTTGAGGTATGCGTCTGTTCGCCGTATTGTCCCCGATAGGAGGATTCAAGATAATAAGGTACTGAAGATATCGTGGAGTTCTTGTCGATGTACTGATGGGGTTTCTGGTCAGAACTTCCTTGTACTGGAATACCTGAAGCAGACTTGGCACCCTGAGGGCCTGGTCCAGTATGCGATGAGACAGCCTTTCTCTGATCGGGAGTTGACTTTTGAGTCTGGGTAGGGGTAGCGGAAGGTTTTGCAGGGGCTACGAGAGAAGGCTTAGGGACAGCAGGCTGCTTCTGTGCAGATGTATCATTCTGAACTGAAGGCTTTGCTGGTTGGCTTTGGACCTTCGAAGTAGATACTTGAGGTTTCTGTGAAGGCAAACCTCCCTGGCTCTGAGGCTTCCCTGATGGAATCTGCGAGGTTCCTGGGGGACCCTGCATCTTGTGTACATGGGGCTCTGCCTTTCCATTTTGTGCCTGAGGCTTGGCTATTTGAGGTTGTACTGCGCCAGTTGGTGTTTGAGACTTGGGTGGTACTGATGCTGGCTTGCCGGTTTGAGCCTGAGGCTGCAGCTGAGGTTTGGCAACTTGAGGTTGTGTTGCTCCACGGGGAGTGTGAGTCTTGGATGGTACGAAAGCTGTCTTTCCACTCGGCGGGTGAGTCTGAGTCTGTCCTTGGGGCCTGGTCGTCCGGGGCTGTACTACCCCAGGAGCCGCTTGAGGCTTTCGGGGAGGCATACCACCTTGAGCTTGAGGCTTTACTGGTGGAGCTTGCGTCGTCGCAGTATGAACTTGGTCCTTGGTAAGTGCAGGCTGTGATGTATCAGTAGAGAAGGCCGGAGGCTTGCTTGATAGATATGGCACCGGGCCACTTGCACCTTGCTTCCCTGGCGTAGACTGCGTCGTACTTGGTGGAGCTTGCGGTTGCTGCCACGGAAGAAAGGAAGATTGCTGAGTGGACTTCTCAGCCGGCACCACAGGCTTTCCTCCAACAGGTTTACGTACTACCTGAGGCATAGGAGGTTTGGTTGTAGCTACTGGATTTGCAGGCTTCTGATAAGGCACATTAATCTGTGGCTGTGACATATTCGGCTTTTGAGACGCGGCTCCAAATGCTTGATATGGCTGTACTGGTGTATTCTGGCTAGCTGGAGAGCTAGAGGCAGAGCCACTACTTCCAGGTTGCCCCCAAGAATTAAGCGAAGGTACAGAATACCTCTTCTCGAATTGGCTCAGAGGCACTGGGGCTGAGGGTGAGGGTGAAGAAGTCTTTTGGGCTTGACCGGCGGAAAATGGGTGGAACGTCTGAAAGGACTGTGCTGAAGCCGGACTTGTTTGGGGCATACCGGGATATGGGACATACGCCTTCTGAGACTGTACGGTCTGAGCAGGTGCTGGAGATCCTGATGCAAGGGAACTGTAAATATCCCAACTTCCTCTTTGTACCATGGGGGCTTTTGCTGGAACAGTAGAAGAGGAGCCGCCAGGATAAGGAGCTTGGGGAGGCTTTGAGGACTGTTCCTTGGCTTTCGCATCTGAAGCACTTCCACTTTCACTCCCGCTGGGGCCCCGGGGAGGCTGGTAACTAGCGAAGGACGAAACTGGTCTAACTTGCTGCATTCCTGGCTTTCCTGATGCTGCCATAGAGTTGCTGGGGGTATTCATTTGGTTTCCTTGCACTCCAGCAGAGACCTTCGGCACTGGATTGATAGGGGCTACAGGGGCGGATGTATTTGCCGTCGCCTGAGGTCCATTTTCGTTCTGAATCTGGGTTTCACTCTGGCTCTGGGACTTTCCTGACACTTCATTCTGTGGTACAGGCTTAGGAGGTCCTTGAGCCTCTTGTGGTCTCTTAAGCTCATCAGCCCAGGGTTGAGAGGCACTGATGGGTTTCTTTGAGACGATATTGGACGGGACCTTGGATGATCTTCGAGACTTTGGAGCAGCATCATTTTTGGATGGTAGAGGGGCGCTCTTAACCTTGGAAGGTTCGGTCTTACTCTTCATGTTACTGCTTGCGTCTTTTTTCTTCCCATGTTTGGCCATGAACTCTTGTTGGCACTCCTTCCACTCAGGATGCCAAACCTGATACCTTTTCTGATAGCGTCTGAAGAGCAACGAAGCGATCGACTGTTCTTCTTCAGATAGAAAGGATACTGCTTTCCCTCTGAAAACGGCATAGAAAGCGACGGAGTGTCCTTCGCGACTTAGTCGATCAAGATCCGGGTTCTTTTCCAGCAGGATGCGGGTGAGTTTCTCGTCAGACGCTTGAACAGCAATCATGATCATTGTGAAACCATACTTGTCCATAGCATTGATATCGGTACCACCCTCAAGTAAAAGCTTCAAGAGGCTCCCGCGGCGGCCTTGAATAGCATATACGAGTGCCGTCTGACCATCGTTATCCCTTGCATCAACAGCCACTCTGTGCTTCAACAGAAGTTGGGTACAGGCTTTGTTACCAGACAAAACTGCCTCGTGGAGAGCTCTTCTGCCCAGATTGTCTGCAATTTCCGTTCGAGAACGTCTCTCAAGCAAAGCCTTGACAGCAGAAGAGTGGTCTCCAACGATGGCAAGATGTAGAGGGGTACGACCTTGGGCATTCTGTCGATTGACATCTAAGCCACTATCCAAAATCAGCCTTATGACACTGGACTTTTCTGTTTTCACAGCATGATGTAGGACAGAGTTGCCGTATTTGTCAAGAGCCCCGAGGTCGGCTCTCCTGTCAAGTAAAAGTTTCACTGCAGACGAGCTTCCACGAAAGACGGCTGAGAACAGTGGCGTTTGCGACTGACCATCTGTTACAGTGATCAAATTCGGGTCACGCTCAAGTAGGTACTTCATGATATTTTGGTGACCTTGAAGAACCGCAAAGTGAAGAGCTGTATCCCCGCCAACTGCCTGACCGTTCGTCTTTGCTCCCGACTTGAGAAGTTGCTTTGTTACAGTCGAGTGGCCATGAAGAGCAGCCAGGTGCAGAGGCGTCCTCTTTTGTCGATCCTGGACATCAAGGACATCATTTCCAGCTTTTCTAACAGCGACTGATAGGAAGTGAGCATGGCCATATATGGCAAATAAATGAGTCCACAGTATCCCCTGGAGATCGCCGAGACCAAGTCTGACCAAGACATTGAGCGTTTGATCTGACGGCCAACCTAGCACCTTCAGGAGCTTTGAGGCTTCTGGTTTTCCCAAGCCTGCAGAATTGATGTGATAAGACCAGCTAGCAGCGTATCCCACAAGTCGTAGTGCTGGATCTGTGCGAGCCATAGACTCCCATCTCGGTTCTTTGGACAGCATTGTAAGATATCGCACGAGGCAATTGGCGATGGAATGATGAGCCTGCTGAAGAGGAGAGACAGTGGCCCCTACAGACTGAGCTTTGCAAGAAAGAATATCCAAACCCTTTGAGATAAAGAAATCCGACACGCTGTCATGCATAGGCTTCACAACCTTCTGGCCGCCCACAGTCACAGCTTCAAGAAGACCCCAAGAAGTAGTCTTGATCCAGGATTGGAAGCTCTCATCAGAACCAAATCGCGTCAAGTACTCTGTCTGTGACAATTCTTTGATGGAAACGGTTTTAGGGAGGGCATCGAGAGCCAAAGCGACCCGAAGCTCAGGCAAGCTAAGTGGCCTCGATGACAAGCAACTCCATCTGAATAGTGAAAGGAGACCATTATTACCCTGGTGTGCCATGTCCTGGAAATAAGCGCCTAGCAAGAAAGAGATTGGCGCAGGTGTAGGCGACGGCTGTTGGACAAGGGATGACTGCCCAGGTCCGAACAGCTTGATGTGATTCACAATCAAACGAGCCGAGATGAACGAAGATCCAGCCTTCGTGGAAACTAGACGTTGTGTATTGAGATCGATATTGGAGAGCTGCGCTTCCAAATGCTTTCTCAAACTTGGTCCATTCTTTTCGTCAACTTGAATACACGATCTCGGAAAGGGATCTTTCATAGGATAAGGCGTGCTAGAAAAGATGATTCTCAGTCTCTGAGTTGTGGTAGGATCCTTGGTGGGAATCTGAGACTTTTCGACCAACTTGGAAAAGTCTTGCACAAGCTTGGGACCCGTTTCGCCTTCCGAGTAATTGATACCATCGACATAGATGGAGACCGAATGAGTTTTTAGTATCTTTGAAATAACTTTGATCAGCTCGTCGAAGAGTTCTTGTGTGTTCCAGGCTACTTGTTGTTTAGGGGGTAAGCAAGACTGGATCTTGTCAAACCTCTCCTTGATGCCTTTGAAGACCTCTGGTGCCTGAGGGACCAATTGACGTAGAAGCGACTTGAATAGGCCTAGGCGTGTTCTAGCCTCGTCTCCAGAAGGAGAGAAAGAATAGGCCAGGTGAATTGAACTTGGGCCCTGGCATGATTCAAGAGCTTGCTTCATCAAAGCTGACTTTCCACTCCCTTCTGAACCTCTTAGCCAAAGCAGCCCGTTGGAAGTCTTCCATCTGGTGAAGAGAGCTTCTTGAACCAACCATTGACTCGTGCTTAGATCTCCAGAGCCTTGACCAATCTTGTGGTCCGCGATGGAGGGAAACTCGAGGCTCTCCAGGAATCCCGTGTAATCTATCTCGGCTTTGAGAGGCTGCGAAGGCTGAGCTTAGAATATAGAGTTAGTAGAGTACGTAGATTGACACATGGCATAAGTACCTTGTTGAGAAGTATTGGGAATTCTGGAGAGTCTCTTCTTATCAAAGCTCTTTGTCTTTTGAGTGTCTGATAATTGCTTCGGTGTAAAGCCCCGAGGAACGTCCGCGACGGACTGTTTCAACGCAGTGCTCGCCGTCTGAAGGTTGGACACAGAAACATCAGAACCTGCAAAGTAAGGCATATCGTATGATTGGTCGCTGAAGTCAACTCTTGATGAGAGGGACTGAGCAGGCGGTTTCGACGATGAAGACACAGAACCAAAAGCCTGGTAGCTTTTGAACTGCTCGGTGGGAGATGTGAAGCTCATTATGACGGGTTGAAGGAAACAAGATACAATGACAGGACAAACTGAAAATGAAGAGATCCAATAGAACAAGCCTTGGCAGTGGGAAAGGGTCCTCTATATATGTGTATGCAGTCCTCCCAGGGGAGAGGCTCAAGCACAACGCATGCGCGGCACCATAGAGTCACCCCATAACGTGCACCTATATAAAGACAGAAGTCTCAATATCTGAAATAAAGCAGTATCACCCGATTCTCTCACAAATGACTACCCCCTACTCCGTTGTCCTTCCTATTCGAAGTTGGGGGCCAAGTGTCAACTCCGTATGCAGCAGCCTTATAAACCCTGTATGCGAACCAAAGAGGCAATGAAAGATGGGATAAGCATGTAGTTAGCGCAGCCTGTCTATACTTGAGCGTTTAGAGCTCCATCTCTCAGCGCCGGCTTACTTCTACGACGTACTTTGGCCTTTCTCTACTCCTCGCCGATGATATTGGCACACATATTTCGAATGGCTGCTTCTTAGATTTACATATATGGAAGTAAATTAACGCTGAAGTGTTACAAATATCATCATGTTCCTCTCGGCCGAGTGTCGTCTTGTCAAGGCTCTAGTTTGCATATAAGTCTTATGATGAATATCCATACTACAAGGGTTATCTTCTGCCGCGCCCTCTTATTCGCTAGCTCGGCCAATAACTCCATCGTGATTATCGAACCCTGCCAAAAGTCAGCATGAGTTTCCATTTATGCTTACTTTCTTAGAGTACTGTTTCAGGAAATCCCTGATAGCATAGTATTGTGTCAAGGCCACACGGAGTTAAGCAGACCAAGGAATGGCAGAAGGGGAGCCTTCAAGTTAAACTTAACTAATAACTACAATTAGAAGGATAGTTTCATCAATAAATTAAGATATTTTGTAGTCTTGCAAGTCTAGGTATGAACTTGGTGAATTCCTTGACTCATTTATTTCTCCCATTGATTCAAGCCTCAACTGTTACAACACCCTAGCGCAAGTCAGAACAATTAAGGGCCGTTTTCAACCTCATTAACCTTCCAGGAGCTTTGGCTCCAGACCAGGCTCGCCAAGATTCTTATCCATATATTAATACCACCTCAATCACAGAAGCGTGATACTACGCCCACTTTTTGGGTTGTGGAATTTCCGCTCCAATTGAGGTCCTAGACCGAGACCGAATCTGCAAGAGTAAGTACTGAAAGGCTTGGCTCAATTTCAAATAGCCGCAGTGGCGCTTTATAACTGCTTTCTCAATATGGCTTGCAGTGCGGGTGCTCGAATAGGTAGGAGATCATATGAAACGGGTGACCCTCATAGACCTGGTCCAGATGGTACTTGAGTCGTGGTGGTTGCTTACTTTACGTGGACGAAAAACATACTAGATGAGGATATGATATTCTGATTTTGAGGCCAAAATTGCCAAGGGTCTAAAGTTCTCAAGATAGACTTGTTCTCAGAGGCGCTATTCGACTTCAACAGTACTATGTGTACTATGTGCCATGGTGCGTCCATGTACTATCTGACCACTAGTCTAGCAGATCTCCGGCTTGAGTAACTGACTTGGAGAAGACTAAGAAGTCTTTGACTTCTTTTGCCCAAGCTTTTGCTGTGCCATGACCTTTTCCCGGCATCCATAAGACAATCATCACTCTCCATTCCTTATACCTCTTCACACAGACTCCCTCCTCCCATCCCAGGGAACGAAGGTCCCGTACATTACCGCCCTCTCCTGATCAGCTTCATCATCCTGAGACTCTACTTTCCATATAACAACAGCTCGGATGAATCCAAAGAGAGCAAGTCCCCACATCATGACATTGCACCCCATCAACACACCTTTGACACTGCGGCTCTCCTCCTGGAAGCACCGGGCCCAAAGCACGAGACTCGATAGTGTTGTGGCAGCAAGAATGAGAGACTCGAGATAGAGTAGGGCGACAGAAGAAAGAAGTTTGACTTCGTGGATCAAAAGACTTGCTGAGCAGAGGAGAAGGACAACCACGAGGGTAGGGTCAGCGAATTTCCAGAGCCTGAAACCTGTTAGATGTGTTCTAAGGGTTAGATCAGTAAGGCTGACTCACCAGTTGTCAAAGTCGTTACCAGGTTCATTCTCCTTCCAGACGGTAACCCACATCAGGGCACTGAAAACACCCAGTGTCACCGCAAACTGCAACACGAGCACGAGTCCATGTACCACAGAACTAACAACCCATCTCCCCTCGACCCTCGCGATCGTCACAGGAACATGCCCTCCGTCGTAGCTATGCCTCTTGCCATCCGTTCTGGTTGTAGATCCCTCCCAATTTCTGGTCTCGCAATCCCCATCGCCTTCATCTTCCTCCTCACTAACCCACGGAGGGAACGGCGTAAGTGGCGGCGAGCCACCTCTCTCGTGGGTAGTAGGAGCTCGAATGGTAAGTGCTGATTCAGCACGGGAGGGATAGTCGATACTAGCGAGTGATGTTCCTGGTGATGGACCAGAGCTAGAGATGTTGCGGTGGTGTGTTGCTGACGAGGCGCTTCTAGAAAGAAGGTCAGGAGAAACGAGAGATGATCGCATCGATGGCGATGCTTTTGCTGGAGAGGTAAGATTCCGTTGTTGAGGTTGTTGAGCGCGTTCTGGGGAGAGGGAGAGAGTCAAGGCGCTAGAGCGGTTGCTTCTCTTTTTGCGAAGAGTACGATTCGCATCTCGAGGAGGAACTGAAAGTTCCATAGTAGATACTGCTGTGAATAGATGAAATGATTGTGAGAGGATTCAGTTGTTTAAAAGGGAAAAAGTTGTTGGGGTGAAGTTGCAGAGTCAACAACATAGGTTAGTAGGTAGGCAATGTTTTATAAATTGGGCAGTGACGGGCACCTGGCAAGGAGCAACACCAGCACCAAGGTACCGAAAGAGCCTTCATACCTAAGCTATTAAGGCCGACCTTACCGATGAACTACTTATAGCCTCAGTGTGACAACCTTTTTTCCCTGTGTATCCCTTCAACGCGGCCCAGTGTCACGAGCCCTTCTTTGTTCTCATTCGAGTATCGTCATCAGATCGAACTGCCGAGAACCGTCACTGCTTGTAAACTAGTAAACGGATCAATTTCTTTGTTCATAATCAACCGAGTAACGTTGCTGGTATTCGTCATAAGTTCTCGCTTCCTTACTCTTGTACATAATGCTCAATCAACCGTACGCCGTCCCTCGCAAAGCCTGCTATCCGGTTACCAGTCACCCAAGCTTCAAGTCGTCGACCGATATATCCCAATCCATCAAACGCCGCCAAAGTGCACCGTTACTCAAGACTCATTCGTGCCTCGTCGCCTATCCCCCATTGTCCACCGGGCCTACCTTGTTTCTGGATTTCAAGGGCCAATTCAGCACCTAGGGCATCGGCGTCATCATCGTTGTACAAACTACTCGTCCTACTAGTCCTACTGTCTCTTCTGGTACGCTCTTTGTTATCCGCTCCGGATCGGTCAGCGATTCGTTTCCGCATCAAGGGCGACTTGAAGAATGATCTGGAAGATTTCGAGTGTACTGACAAGGAATCGTCTGCTGCTTTGGAGCTTGCGTCATCGTTACTGATGTCTTCGCCATGACTCTGTTCGGGCACAGCTCGTGTAGGAACCATGGTTTCGTTGCTGGAATTGTATGGCTGAGACCTGAGTTTCGTTACTGAAGGGGATTCTTTGAGCTCCTTCTCAGTCTCCTGGCCATCTTCCGGCTGGTCCACCTCGACCAACTCGGCATCGCGATACCACTTTCTTCGTCGGGTCCAGCGACCCCATCCATCTTGACCCCTCTGGCCATTTTGCCACTAAAATTCTGTTAGAAGAGACAATGCATTGTCATATACGATGGCTTCTCACCTTGTTGTCATAGAAGATCCAACCATTCTTCCCCTCGTTCCCGTCATAGTCCACAGGGCCATGCTCATCGGACACGCCATCAACACGCCAACGGGTTCCAGGAACCCATCGCCACTGCATACGACTTCCATCTTCTACCTCGGGTAGTTCAAAATCGTCTTTGGCGGGAACTGAGTTGTTATGGTCATCTGTCCAGGCCGCTCGTTCGTATGCAAAGAGGTTGTTCGTCCATCCCAACCCGATCCATCGTCTTTGGTTCTCATAGATAATAAAGGTGAACTTGACACCCGCAGTCTTAGCATTGCCATTCCTTCTTCCATGATTAGTTTGGAAGCTCGACGCCTTGCCAAGAGCTTTTGTAAGTTCGGATTCCTGCTGTTGAGCAACACGGTCCTGGCCTTTCTTAGCAGCCTTGGCCAAGTCCTTTTTAAACGGCTGTTCGGGAGTATCAAATTGTAACCCGGTGATGGCGGATGCAAGTCGTCTAACTGTGGAGCTTCTCCAGAGAATGGCCCGCGAAACTCGCAGAACCCTTGCGTGCCAAGTCAAGATGATGGTTCCAGCCACTAGTATTACACGCCTTGTCGTGACGACTCTCCAGGGCGGAACAGTAAGCGCAATCCAAACAGGAGTGATGATAAGCAGTCGCATGAAGATGACAGTCAGCGCTGGGCGCGTGGTCGCACTAGTCGGGGTCGTCTGAGTGCTTAGGAAATCCGTCATGTCGAGCAGAGGTTCCATCAGAACATTACATCTCCCAGTAAGTTGTTTAAGAGTCTCGACGATCTCGTCGAGTGTCTTCTGATGTTTGGTGTTGGTAACTTCGGAATTTCCCCTAACATGTTTCGACTGTTTCTCGCCGGCGTTTGCCTTTCCATTCTGCTGGCTGCTCTCGCCGGCGTTCTGATTTGTTCCCTTGGTGCCAGCATTCTGACCTCGAATATCAGTCCACCCACTACTACTGAGGGGACTGTATCTCCGGCCGTACATGCCAATGATGAGTGCCACTCCGACCAAGACGGGGCCGGCCCACGTTATTACTACATCGCCATACAGAACAACCGCCCAGAAGAAGCATAACAGTAAGAAACTCTGCCAAGGATCTCCGGTGCTCCAGGTGAGGAGGCCTGCGAATGTATTCAAAGGGAGGAGGAAGGGGTGGCTGTAGGCGAGAGCGCGGGTGATCTGTGGAGGAGTAGCGAGGAGCAGGGGGCTCTTTTGATGGACGAGGATAGTTGATCTTCGGGACGATCGGGATGGTGTATTCGCGGAGAGCGTTACTGGGGAGAAAGATGCAAATGTCGGAGGAGCACCCGTATTGGAAGGTTGAGGTTCGTACGAGGGAGGTGATGCGCCGTGAGACGCATCATCACGGGAAGACATGGGTGCCGGTGCAAGATGCGACAGCCACGGCGTGTCCTATTGAAGTTGTGTGGTTAATAATCAGGCAGTCGATATAATGGGCATTTCCGACAAAGTTGATGAACAACGTGAACGAGAGTTGTGATAGAATCTTGATCGATGTGGTTAACTTGCCCGCGTGGTCGGCCGCGACGCGACGTCAGAGGGTCGAGTCACTGAAGTGAAGCCCTGGATCTGGGCTGAGAGGACACAGACGGTTATGTCATGGGGCGCCACTTTAGCGACCACCTAAACTCCTAGGGCTGCCTAAGAGATATAGAGGGGAAACACAAAAACAGAAAAATGTATCAAGGTGGATAAAAGGGAACAGACAGTGAAATGAGGACTTACAAATGCTGCCATTGACAAGTCTAGGTAGTCTTCCAAGTTTTGCTTGTTCTGTAACGTTGTAAGCCACTTCTCGATACAGGCGTCATTCAGCATTGACATTACCCCAGATTGACCTTGCTTGCCCCGCGACGTCAGCTGTGCAGCAGCGGCATGTCACGATTCGATTGGGACTCGATGCACTCGTCTCAACCGAAACAGATCAGATCAAATCAATATGTTAAAAAAAACCAGATATAAAAGACAGAAATGTAAGAGAGGGACAAAGGGATATGTAATGATCCACGTGAGCTTCCTTGGTAGGCGCAGTCATCCATCCATTCATGCCCTTTTCTTACTTTCTCTCTCGGCTTGGTTCTAGCTTATCACATGCTTTCTCGGCCACCACCAAGCAAGCACATGAATCAGTTGCCGGGAATGGACAAAGGCCTTGCCTCTAACGATCTACAGTGGAGTCTCCAGGGTCTATCCTTTTTCGATCAGAGGTCACGGGCTGGAATATGGCATCTTCGGAAGCTAGTATGAATTCGATTTTGGCTCTCATCGAGACTCCATCCCATTAATGAATTTGAAGAATCTCAAAGGCTTCCATGTGAGATTGTACCACAGCATAACATGCACATCACAACGAGTCACCTGCCATGTCACTTACATGCCAAGAGATGATGTTTCCCATGTTGTCGGCTTCATTATATCTCTAAAACCCGATATGATCCATTTTCAAGGCTATTCCTCCTTTATGTATTTTGACAAGGTGCTAACATATTCCCCATCTATTCTGATGTCGCCTACGGAGTACAGAAGCTCCATGTCAATAATATACATACCCAACAAGATAGCAACTGGTCCAACAGCCACTTATGTGCTGTGCGGCACTGCCAAATCTTGAAACACTAACTTTAGATATTGTCCCACAGACCACTTACACTTCTCAAAATATTGCTTGTAAATTTGAACTCATAAATTTCTAGTTTTAGACCTTTTTATTCTAAAATCATCATATCTCGCAAAACTCCGCCAATACAGAGATCAGTTCGCCGTGGTTGAATAGCTTCCCAAAAAACCATTCCATCCATATGCATGTCAGGGACCCATCATGGTTGAATATGATATATCTTTTCCCGCTTAAATAAATAAAATCAATCGCTTAATATGGCCCGTCCTCCATCTATCGCTAAACCATTACTTCTTCCTTTTTATCTACAAGTTCTCAGATCCCTCCACAGGGGGGCATGTGCAGAACAGGTTGGTGTCACCATAAGCATCGTCCACGCGTCCCACAGAGGGCCACATCTTCTTTTCGCGGAGCCAAGGCAGCGGATAAGCTGCCTCCTCACGAGTGTAAGGGCGGTCCCACTCGGAAGAGAGAAGGTCTTCTTGAGGGTGGGGAGCGTTTGTGAGGAGGTTGTTCTTGCGGGGAACCTTGCCAGACTCGACATCGGCAATCTCTTGTCGGATCTGGATGAGAGCATCGCAGAAACGGTCGAGCTCAGCGCGGGACTCCGATTCTGTGGGCTCGATCATGAGGGTTCCTGAAACGGGGAAACTCATGGTGGGGGAGTGGAAGCCATAGTCCGCCAGACGCTTGGCGATGTCGGCAACTTCAACTCCGGCGGTCTCCTTAAAGGGACGAACGTCGAGGATGAACTCGTGGGCGCAGCGGCCGTTTGCGTTGGTGTAGACGACCTTGTAGTGGGGTAGGAGACGGGACATGATGTAGTTGGCGTTGAGGAGGGCGGTACCAGTTTGCTTGGTAAGACCATCTCCGCCCATCATGAGGATGTAGGTGTGGCTGATGGGGAGAATGGAGGCGCTACCCCAAGGAGCGGCGCTGATGGGAGCAACAGCTGTGCTATCACGCTCGGCACCAATGCGCTGAGGATCAATCTCAGGGTGGCCGGGGAGGTAAGGAGCAAGATGCTTCTTCACAGCGATAGGACCAACACCGGGACCACCACCACCGTGGGGAATACAGAAGGTCTTGTGGAGGTTGAGATGACAGACATCAGCACCAATGTCGCCGGGGCTGCAGAGACCAATCTGAGCGTTCATGTTGGCACCGTCCATGTAGACAAGACCGCCATGCTCGTGGACAAGATCACAGACTTGCTTAATCTCAGGCTCGAAGACGCCGAAAGTAGAGGGATAAGTAACCATGATAGCAGCAAGCTCATCAGCGTGCTTGGCACACTTGGCCTTGAGATCCTCGATATCCAGGTTACCAGTCTTGCCGTCACACTTGACAGTAACAACCTTCATACCAGCCATGGCAGCAGAAGCAGGGTTGGTACCGTGAGCTGAAACAGGGATAAGGCAGACCTTTCGCTTGTCTCCATCACGAGCCTCGTGGTAGGCCTTGATACAGCGAAGACCAGCAAACTCACCCTGAGCACCAGAGTTGGGCTGAAGAGTGGTAGCATCCATACCAGTGATCTCAGACAAGTTCTTGGCGAGAGAGCTGATGAGAGCTTGGTAACCAGAAGCTTGCTCAACTGGGGCGAAGGGGTGGATGTTGTTGATACCAGGGTCGGAAACAGGAAGCATCTCGGTTGTGGCGTTGAGCTTCATTGTGCAGGAACCAAGAGGAATCATGGAGTGAACGAGGGAGACATCCTTGGACTGGAGATGGTAGATGTATCGAAGGAGCTCGGTCTCGGTGTGGTACTGGTTGAAGACAGGCTGCTCGAGGTAGCCGGTCTTTCGCTGGAGAGAAGCAGGGATTTGATCATTGAGGAAGGTAGCCTTATCAGAATCGAGAGCAGACTTAAACTCAGCCTCAGAAACACCGAAGGCCTTGACGAGGTTACCGAGGCTCTCAAGGGTGACGCCCTCATGAAGAGAGAAGCCAACCTTGTCCTCAGCAACGCGGCGAAGGTTAATGTTCTGAGATTCAGCGTTCTTGTGAACCTTGGCAATGGCTTCAGGAGATCCCCTGAGAGTGACTGTGTCGAACAGAACAGCACCATCCTCACGCAGACCCTCAGTGTGAAGCTTGAATTCGCCCTTCTCAAGGATCAAGCTCTGGGCAAGACGGGTCTTGCTCCAGATATCCTCAGCAATTGTCTTAAGGCCCTTAGGACCGTGGTAGACAGCGTAGAAGGCAGACATATTGGCAAGAAGAGCCTGAGCAGTGCAGATATTGCTGGTAGCCTTCTCACGACGAATGTGCTGCTCACGAGTCTGGAGGGCCAGGCGAAGAGCAGGCTTGCCGAGACGATCCTTGGAAACACCAACGAGACGGCCGGGAATCTTGCGCTTGTACTTCTCAGATGTAGCGAAGAAAGCAGCGTGGGGACCACCGTAGCCCAGAGGAACACCGAAGCGCTGGGAGTTACCGATGGCGATGTCAGCGCCAAACTCTCCAGGAGGCTTGAGCATGGTAAGAGCGAGAAGATCAGTGGACGCACTGAGAAGAGCCTTCTTCTCATGAACAATATCGGCGAGAGCTTGGTAGTCGTGAACACCACCGTGGGTATCGGGGTACTGAATCAAGGTTCCAATGAGATCGCCCTCAACTTCGCGAACGAGCTTGGAGTTGTCGGCGAGGACATCGCCAATGACGAGCTTGATACCGAATCCCTCAGCTCTGGACTGGAGGACGGCAATGGTCTGGGGGTGGCAGTCCTTGGAGACGACAAAGACCTTCTGGCCCTTGCCCTTGGGGGCGTTGGCCATAGACATGGTCATGGCCTCAGCAGCGGCGGTGGCTTCGTCGAGAACAGAGGCATTGGCGATATCGAGACCAGTCAAATCGGTGATAAGAGTTTGGAAGTTGAGGAGAGACTGAAGACGGCCCTGGCTGATCTCAGCTTGGTATGGGGTGTAGCTGGTATACCAGGCAGGATTCTCGAGAACATTGCGCTGGATAACAGCAGGGACAAGAGTTCCGTAGTAACCAGCACCAATGAAAGACTCGTAGACCTTGTTGTTCTTGGCAAGCTTTCGCATCTCCTGCTGGATGTAGTGCTCAGTGCGGCCATTGGGAGGAACAGCAGCTTCCTCGCCACCCTCATACCATTGTTCGACAAGGTTGAGGCCCTTCTGTTTCCTCCGAACCTGCGGGGGAATAGTCTGCTCGAGAAATTCCTCCATGGAGCTCACGGGAGGGTCCAGGACCTTGAGCATCTCTGTCTGCTCGTTGGACTCGCTGCCAATATGCCTCCTTGAGAACAGCTCATGTTCCTGCAGCTTACTGCTGCTCTGTGACTCGACAAAGCGAGGGGCGCTGGCTGTGACTGAGAATGATGCCCGGGATCCTCCATTGAGACGGATCGACTGTGTGAGACGTGGTTGAAGGGCGAAGGGGGAACGACGGGACGACTGACGGGCGAGCCGTTGTCCGATACGAGTGGCAGACATCATGATGGGATGATTGCCTGTATTAGACCAGGCCCTTGTTCAACACAATTGAAGATGTCAAAGAAAGGAAAGGAAGTGGGAAAAGGGAAAAGGGACTGATTATAGCATGGAGCGTTATCAAAAAAAACACAGCCAGCATCCAAAGATTTTAAGGGTACGGGCGGGCATGAGCATGAGAGAGCAGCGGCAGGAGCAAACAGTGGCGTCGGCCGTCATGGTCCGATCATGTCGCCGGTAGGAGGAAAGAAAACTCGGGGCCTTGATCCTAAAATGACAAAAATATTTAGGTAACTTAGTATAAATTTAGGGTCAGTTTAGTATAGACTTAGGATACCTTTGCGGAGTTTATTTTATCATCCTAAACTTAGATCTGATGTTTTCTTGCTCCCAAAGGCGTCCACTTTCTCCAAACCGGCCGGAAAAGGTACATGAGGGTACATCTGAATCTGAACCTTTCCAGAAGACATTTCATGTGACTCGGTGAAAGTGCCAGCGCGGCAACTAAAGCGCGATAAACCCTGTGATTCGCTGGCTTTGACTCAGTGAAACCAAGTGACTCGGTGAAAGATAAGTCCTGTACCCCTCTAAGGACCCTATCGCGCCCAAATTCACCGAGTCAACGGTAATTCTTCACTGAGTCAAATGCACCACCTACAAATCAGGTGGTCGGCAAATGAGCCGTGGGGGTCTTATCGCTTGGTTTTCAGGCCATGCTGGGGTTGGTTCCACTGCGTTGTGCCCTGCACATACTTCCTCGGCGATGGACCGAAACCTGTGGGCCGAGCTCGGGATGGTCTGGCCTGTTCCTTTGTTCGTCAGTTGATTTGATATTTATGATACGAATTTACTAGTACGTCTTCTAGAAATGCTCCATGCAGCTTTTCCTTATGACACTTTTACGTGGTAGATAGGCTGCACGGATTTCCGGTGTAGAAGCCGGGGTTGCAATACCGGAATATAGAGTGGATGCTACTGGCCAGGGCTGCCACAGCACCTTGACCAAACTCCGACGTCTTGGCATAGGGTAGCTGCATTTGGGCCAACGACAGAACACCTCAACGTTACTTCGAGGTCTAGTCTATCAGGCAAGACGAACGAAGTGTGATAAGCAAATAATTACTGAATCTCCTGCCCGTTTTGAACACTCTAGTCAATCCAAGGATGTTTTCTATGATGCCAAGTAATATCGTCATACAAACTAATCGCGTATAGAACATATTTATCACACTATGATAAGGTGAGGCTTCCAGACTCTCCTCATGAGTAATGGAATATGACAAGTATTGTTGAGAAACAGTGCATAGAATTTGAAAGACTTTTTCCGTCGCCAATTACTTAATTAACTAACCATTTGTCCTGTCCGGCCTAGTCTATATGTCCTTTATGGAAATCAAAGGGCTATGATAATCCGAGGCCTCCGTGGAAAAACAAAGACAATGAGAACAAGACACGAAAGAACCATCGATTCTTCTTGAATTCGATTGTGACAAAAAAGAAAAAGAAGCTCATATCTGACAAAAAATCCAACATGTTCATCAGTTCAGGGTACGTGTTGTGAACAGCTGTCACCCAACGACAAACGTAACAACGACGTTTAAGACCAATGATCCTAGGCACTCTGCGCTGACAAAATCAAGATCTTCAATATTCAGAGATTAATTACAAGATAGAATTCTCTTCATCATGACGACTGGGACTATTCAGACAAGGCCATTTACTGGGGTGCCGTTTTGCGAAAGGCACTTTCAATCATTTATTTTCAACTACATCACACGACAGATCGAAATCGAGCAGTTGTCATCAACAAGAACGATACAATCGGGTCCAACTCGAGTACAGCCACGGAGAGTTGCAAAAGATAAGCATCCTCTTGGAAAGATCACGAAGAAGCGTGAGGCAGACGAGGAGTTGCCAAAATCTACAACAAAGAAACGGAAAGCTAACTATATAGCCCAGAGGACCAAGAGGTGGAATGCATTTATCAAATTGGTGCAGCCGCAGGTGAAGGAGAGGCGGGATGCTACAGAAGACGAAGAATTCAGCTGTCCCTTTGGATCTACTCCTTGGTCATGCAAAATGTGCATATCCGAGGTAGGCGAATCAACGGAAGAAAATCTGCTGTTTATGGGGGAGTCCATGGCACCTTGGGCGAACATGGCACTTGATCCGCATCCTGCAAGGCGGCTCAGCCTATGGAAGAATTTTGGGACAGCAGAGTTTCAGACGTTTCAGTATGAGGATTTGTCATATGTTATTGATACGTGCCGACAACCAATGTTTATGATGCTGTGAGCTTTTGCTTACTATGAAACAGTACCAGCAAATTGCTAGAAGATCAAAAACTTTACAAGACACTTGATACCCAAGATACGATAGAAACACAAAGTGTGCAAGAAGCATAAGATATGACTAATGGACGGGGATATCTTATTGTCCGAACTAGCCCTATAGAAGAGCTCGTGGCATGATTGCCCCTGGGCTCCTCCAAATAAAACAGTTAAAATGTCATAAGCCAAGATTACAAATATGAGAACGAGCATAATGACTAAGGCCTGAGTACTAAACAGCCTCTCCTCGGATTTTGGGCATTCTAGATTTATTGAATCAGCTCTGCTACCAGTCAAAGAATTCGAATGAGATTACGTACATCATGAACCAAAACCAAACACCGAAGCCGATCAGCAAGAGGAAGATTACAAATCCGTACCAATACTTTTCGAATTTGGCATTTTGCTCCTCAGAGAGAGAATCGAGAGGGCCCAAGATCATGGTTACGGTTGTGGCCGTGTATGTTGATGTTGTTATTGTTGTACTGGATTGATGGAAAGTGATTACGCTTGCTGACTTGGACAATAATGAAGAGAAGAATTCAATATTTTAGAAGCAAGACAGTGGTAAATGGGAGGCAGAGCGGTATAAATATACCGCAAAGAATTTTGTAGAGTTTATGTCTGTCTAAACAAGGTCTCTGGCATAGAGAACTTATTTGAGAGAGCCCTTCCTTATTGCATGAGGCTTTCACTAACCTTTACTCTGTCACATACATCAGCCAGTTACAGATTACCTGCCTGGATGGATTGATATTGGGCTTGCTGCCGACAGGACACCAAGAATGCAAGTTTCTGCATAAAATCACAGTTCAAGCATTAAAGTATCGAATAAGGTAAGCAATAAACCTACCTAGACGTGATTTGCTTGAGAAACACTGTATATACCTCGAAGGAAAGAAAGTTAGTAGCAATAGGCAGCAGAGAAACTGTTCACATCCAAACGCTATAAGTGGATGAATTGATAGTTAAAGCTTATGGCATCTTAACGAAACATATCAAGCTAATACACTAAAGGTTCCCAATTAACTTTTGTTTTCAGAAGGCAATATCCAATATTGCTAACAGTAACTTGACTTGTGAATATCGAGGTGGAAAGGCAAAGAACTCGCCAAAAGTTCTTCTCGTTAAACTCAGAGGGATGTGTCTAATAACTCTGACAAGCCTCAACACTCGATGCTGCTGTCTGCCCCATTTCGTCAATTAACCAGATGCAAAACACATTTACTGCTAAAAGCGTTGCAGTTTTAGATAAGTCTCTTCCTGTTGAGTTTGTCGGTATACATCTTCTTGTTCAGCTAGCCGTGAGTATGTGTGGTTAGAAGTGGAATAATATACTCCGTTCTTCCGTTCATTACCTCGAGCATGAAAACGTCACCTTGCCTTACCAAGATAACGAGCTAATGCTAAAAGTGAAAGGTTGAGCCACGTGAAGCATCTACTACGTAGAAGCTACTGTAAGTGAAGTGCCGGGGTTGGTCGTGTTAGTGGCAAAGACGAGCTGTTATTGCGATCCAATCAAAAGGTGTAGCCAGGATGGGTGATGTTAGTGGCGACGAACCTTAAAGCTTGGCCTTGGGATTTCTAACAGTACCTAATTGCATGTTGTGCAATGTGAGATAAGCTGAAGCATTTGGCCTTTTTTTGCTAATAATGTAGATATGATTAATTAATATTTTCTTAAATGTTATCGGAAATATCGAGAACATTCGAGATTACCCAGTCTCTACCGCGATACCCTGTCATCAAATCTCGAACCATCGGGATCATCACGCGGAGGCTAAAAAGCTGAGCCAAGTCAAGGAACCGCCAAAATCACTCACATCACCCCCCACAAAGCCAACTCAGATCGCCAACCAGAAGTGTAATCCCACGTCAGGACCCCTCACTCGACAGGGACAAGGAGGGGGTCTTTTGAGATAAACGCACAAAGGCCGCATCCCACCAGCTGAGTATATAAGACCCTGCATGATCCGATTAGATTCTCTATTTTTTCTTTCTTCCATCCTCAACTCACAAACAAATCTTCAACAAAACAAACTCAACTCTTTTTTACTTCAACCCTCACCCACCAAACAAACATCACAATGGCTGGCGACTGTGGCTGCTCTGGTGCCTCTTCTTGCAACTGCGGCTCTAGCTGTAAGTCAACACGACTCTATTCTCCTCTGTTCATCAATACTGATCTGCGCTAGGCTCTTGCTCCGGCTGCGGCAAATAATTTCTCCCGTCTCATTTCAATCACGAACTATTGAGATACCACCCGCGACCTTTGTCGCAATCCTACGAATCAATTACATGGATGCATGAATTTTGGTGTTGAGCCCAGTGTGCTCGGGGAGATGGCGGTTGGAGTTGGGGTTTCACTGGTTGGCTTGTAGTGCAATTCTGAAATACACTTCTTCATCACCATAAGCTTTACTTGGTGTGATGGTCTCCGTTCTATCTTATCATTCATTGCTATGTTGCCGTGACATGAGCATACCAGAAGCAGGTCGTGAACTTGGCCTATAAGCTCCCTTGTCACGCGATCCAAAAGTCACCCATCTACCTAAGTATCATAACCATTTGTTGGCAATCCGCAATGCTTACGTTTCCTGATCTCCTATGGGCTCTTGCCTCCAGTGCTTGGATACATCCATAAGCCAATCCCCAGTGTCCCATTGCAAATGGTCTTGCGCTCCTGTTTCATGAACTTGCTGTGATCTCCTGCTGAAGTTTGGCCACTCATGAGCTGACGGAAACTTATCTAACTCAGTTATGTCGTCAATGTACACAAGGTCATAATAAAATGCTTGACAATCTGGCCCTCTGGCCTCTCTGAATCAGACAAGACAAATGTGACATTTGGTCTCATCGGTACGGGTCGCTTGTCCCAACCAAGCTTCTGCCGCATGTCGAGAAGTAATTGGGGGACTGAATAGGGAGGTAAGAATCGAATGAACCGCAACTCCAGAGATTGAAGTCTGGGTAGTGAGGCTAGGAGAGTCCACAAGTCACATCCCCCTCAAAGCCGCGGTGATGGGAAGCGTTCTAGAGCATAAACAAATACGTAGATGTCTTCTCTGGATAATTGTATCTGATGCTCTTGGTCTGCAGGGCTGTGGAAGTAAGCGTAGGAATCTTCTGAGGTCATGGCTGCTGCCAGCTGGCGCCTGGGAACATCATGGTCCCGACATTTGAGTCAGCTGCTGTATATAAACCGACAAGTATTTTGCATACAATCATAGTAGTGACACCCCGGGCATGCTTTGGCCCTTCTCTCCACGCTGTTGAGAGATGTGTCAACCCTATCAGCTTGGCCACAACCTTGCGATACTTATCGCTATTTGCAATATCCTTAGGGACGCGATGTTGAAAAGATTTGCCGAGAGAAAGACCCATTTTAAAGGCAAGGGAGCGATGCTCTAAAAGCCTATAGATGTGAGACGTAAGTCCTTGACGTCGTTGTTTAGTAGTAAAGATTCAATATTTTTGAGCACTTCAACCGGTACGGCTGCGGGATGACACCGCCTCTGAACAGACATTTTGGAATTGAACGGGTACTGGAAAGACAGATGGATGAATGATAATTAAGCCTTGACCAAATCGACTCTGCCCTTGGATGTGACTTAGTCAGTGTTAGTCCTGGTAAATTGAACCCAAGTCATTGGCATTCAAGTTCCTGCGAGGCGAAATAAGCGGGTACGTCGAATTCATAGCCATGATCGAGTCTGAAGCTCTTGTCATATTGAGAGTGATGAAATACTTGTTTATAGGTTGTTGATTGTGCCCCCGGACTTTGAGTTTTTAAGAAATTGGTTGATCTAAGATGATGTCCTTGACAGCTAGGCCATTATTATGGCCAGACATGCACACGATTTACGGATTGTGCTTTGGGACATCGAAAATGCATGCGAGAAATCTGATATCATTTGCTTTTAAATCACCAATTATTTAATGTAACCAAAACCCATCGCTTAATGCTCCTCAAGGTGCTTAGCATAAGCAGCCTCGTCCATCAATGAATCAAGGGCAGAAACATCCTCAGCCTCAACTTTGATCAACCAGCCCTCGCCCTCAGGGTCCTTTCCGAGATCAGCGGGTGTGTCGACGATAGGATCGTTGACCGCCACAACAGAGCCTGATACAGGGGAGTTGATGTCGGAGGCAGACTTGACGGACTCTACGCTGCCGAAAGAGTCGCCCTCAGAGACATCCTCGCCCTTAGAGGGAAGTTCCACATAGACAACGTCGCCGAGAGCTTCAGCAGCGTAGTTGGAGATGCCAATAGTGCCTAGGAATGTCAATTGATGGCCTTTTGCCAAGAAAAAAAGAACTCACAGGTCTTGCCATCGGCGGCGACGTCAACCCACTCGTGGCTCTCAGTGTATTTCCTTGCGAGGACTAGAACTTGTTAGATTTGGCTGAGCTTCAAAAAAGGAGTCAGAACTAACGGTTCATGGAAACTGAGAAGCATCGTCGGGGAGCAATGCTGTTGACTTTGCAGGCAAAGGCAGTCTTGGGAGCTCGGAGAGCAGTAGATCGGAGCTTAGAGGCAGAAGCCCAAGCTTGACGAGCAAAGAGACCAGACATTGTGAGTGGGTGAGTGAGGGTGAGGATGAGGATGAGGATGGATTGAGGTTGAATGAGTGAATGGGAATGTCTGTGGTGATGTTGATGATGATTGATTTTAGGTGACCTACTCCCCATTTACGATCCCTAGCACTTCTGATGCCCCGTCTTCGGCGGCGGTCCGGTCAAGTACCTCGGAGTCACTATCCGGCCCCAGCTCAAGCGACGCCTGGTAGCGTCATAACAGTTGGAGAATCAGGTCATAAGCACTACTTCAGTATACCCACCCTCTCAAGTAGCGGTACCGCTTATCTCGCCAAAAAGTTGTCATGATGGGCGGTATAACCTGCTTTAGCCGCTTGTGAAAGGTACTAGCTACTGGCATCTTTCACTGAGTCAAGTACCGATAACCCCAGATCCAAATCCCAAGAGCCCTGAAATATTTTTTTTTGGGTATGCGGGGAAGACTTGGAATTCCGAGGAGTGAGATATTCGGAGTTTGGCTACGGAGAATGAAGTGCAAGACAATTTTATCATGTAATTTTAGTCAATTGGGCCAATTGCTACTGGGGCAAGTTGTCACTAAATTTGCATGACCATTGATGTGGCGGTTATTGCACAGTCGTGCGTGGTGTTGGTCCAGACAGCTTAACTTCCAGCACTCTAGTCTAGCCCATCATGATTACAACATGGATGATCAAGACAGCTACAACACAGCAAATTTGGTGAGAATCATGCAATAGACTCTTTATACTCATGTAAAATTTGTTATGATACTATTTTCCAAACGCCAAAAATGATCTTTACTCTTCATCAAAAGCATCATGACTTGAGCCAGGGCTGGGGGAATCCTCCAACCCACTCAGCGACCTCATCTCGTAGTGCCTTAATCTCCTTGACATTAGATCCATCACCCAAGAACTCCAAGAAGTTCTTCACAGTACCCGGGTTCTTAGCACCCTTGGCCTCAGCAGCCGCGCGGGCGTCCTTATCAACCGCTAGAGTGATCTGCACACCGCGGTCCACAATATCAGCCACGCGCTTGAAGTCTTCACCGTTGAAGCCCCGCGTTGTCATGGCGGGTGTTCCGAGACGAAGACCACCGGGCTTGAGGGCGGAGCGGTCACCGGGGACGGTATTCTTGTTGCTGGCAACACCAACGAGCTCAAGAACACGTTCGACGCGTGCGCCGTCGACACCCTTGGGCTTGAGGTCAACGAGGACGAGGTGGTTGTCGGTACCACCTGAGACGAGCTTGTAGCCCAGACCCTCAGAGAGTTGCTTGGCCAGAGCTTGTGAGTTCTCGAGGACCTTTTCTTGGTACTGCTTGAACTCGGGTGTCTGAGCTTGACGAAGGGCAACAGCGAGGGCGGTGATGGTGTGGTTGTGAGGACCACCCTGGTGGCCAGGGAAAACCGAAGCGTTGATAGGGCCTTCAAGATCATACATGATCTGCTTGCCCTTCTTGTCCGTGCTTCGAATGCCCTTGCGGTAGAAGATCATGGCACCACGAGGTCCACGAAGGGACTTGTGGGTGGTGGTAGTAACGATGTCAGAATCCTCGAATGGTGTTCCAATTACACCAGCAGCGACAAGACCAGAAACGTGAGCCATATCAGATAAAAGGTAAGCACCAGCCTCATCGGCAATAGCACGCATGCGCTCGTAATCGATCAGGCGGGAGTAGGCAGATGTACCAGCGACGATAACTTTGGGACGGTACAGAAGAGCATTCTCGCGAAGCTTGTCGTAGTCGATCAGACCGGTCTCCTCGTTCAATCGGTAGGGGAAGGTCTCGTAGTACTTGGAGACCATGGAGATCTTCTTGTTGGGGATCTGGTAGCCGTGGGAGAGATGACCTCCGTGGGGAAGGTCAAGGCCCATAATACGGTCGTGGGTGTTGAGGATAGCAGAGTAGGCGTAAAGGTTGGCAGGGGATCCAGAGAGGGCTGAGGCTGTTAGCATTGAACAAAGAATTGAACATCAAGTCGAGACTCACGCTGAACATTAACGCCCCACTTCTCAGGGTCAAGACGGAAGGTCTCGAGGGCACGTCTTTGGCATAGACGCTCTGCCTCATCGATGTGTTCATTACCACCATAGTATCGTGCGCCAGGATAGCCCTCGGAGTACTTGTTTTGCATAACACTGCCTAGAGCATCGAGAACGGATCGTGAAGTGAAGTTTTCGGAGGGAATGAGGTTGATGAAGTGGTTCTGGCGCTTCTCTTCCTATAATGGTGTGAGATTGGGTCAATTGGTATATGGGGAGTGACTTACACGCTTGAGAATGGCATGGATCTCTGGGTCGCCTTGCTCGAGGCTGGCACCGAGAAGCTGTAGACTGTTAGGTATTGTTAAATATGACTTCTTTAAGACTTACATCTGATTGAGAAGCAAATGTCCTGGTGGTGACACGGCTGGCCAGAGATGGCTTTGTGCGAAGGCATTGCTGCCGAAGGAGCCTCAGGTTCATCATGATGTGTATGATGAGGGGTATCTCTGTATGAACTGAAGAGAAAGGAAAAAGAAGATGAAATTACGATACAGTCTCAAGCAACAAGTCCAAGCTAGAGCAGCACAAGACCTAATAAGAATGTCCTTGTCCGCCGCCTTCGGCTCATGAGTTCCATGACCGGAGCATGAGATCAACAAGCCGGTACGTACCTGAAGGTCCATGTCACCGAGTCAATCTTATCAAACGTCACTGAGTCGAGATCTAAAGCCGGGGGTGGACAAGTCCCACATGGTCCTCGGAGGCTTGGTCTTGGAGGGCCGGGAGTGAGTTACCTGACGGTACATGCGCTATCTCTGAGCCTAGAACACTTTTAGAAGCTGACTCGGTGAACGGGGATGGAAGTGGCTTGGTACAGGGTAGCCGATTATTCCCGTTACGTGTGTTATGCAACTGAAGCGAAGTGGCCTTGACTTGACTCCCCACAACCAAAAACAAACACGATCCACTCCCAAGGCCACGGACACGGACGTTGCTTTACGGTTCGTCTCGCTTATTCCGGAGCCTCCATCCGATTTGCATTGCGCCTGATTGTGCCTGTGTTTGTGTTCTCCTCTCACTAACCGCGCTGTGCTGTACTCTACTCTACCACTCAAAGCCAAGCAATCCGCTTGCTTTGTCACCGAGTCTCTTCGGTGGCAAAAAAAGAGGGCTCAATATGTCACCGTCACCAACAAACCCAAACCCAAACCTGAACCCCTCAATGCGTCCCGTGCCTATAATCCGCAGTAGGACGGGCTGTTTTACCTGTAGGAAGCGCAAAAAGAAGTGCGACGAGAGGTACCAACCAACCACTCTCCAGACAATCATCTTGACTCGACTTGACTTACGTGATGATGTAGTAAACCAATCTGCAGCGGTTGCAAACGCAATAAGCTCGACTGTGTCTGGCCTGAACCACAGCCTGCCAAGGGTCCATCACGGTCTTCATTTGGTGCTGCATCTACAAGCTCACAACAGAGTGTTGCTTCGCTGAGACAGGGTCACGATGCGGACTCGGTGAATGACCCGGTCATACCGGACCCGGTGCCGGAGGAGGAGGACCGAGCTGCTGAGAATCCCGATGTACCCCAGAATGGCGACAGTTCTCCGGTACATGGGCATGGGCAAGGGGACACCCACATGGTCGATGCTGAAGCTGATGTGGATATCATCGATGCGGTTGATGATGTTGATCAGCCATCTCCTTCACAGTCATCCAACTCATCAGACTCACCGACTGTCATCACGACATGGGATGCAGATACCGCCAATGCTCTCACTCTCGCTCTGCCGCCGTCCCCAGACACAGGACTCTCATTCAATGGAGCTATTACTATGCCAATGTCGATGCTACCTGAGCAGGGGCATCAGTCATATGAGCTTCTCAGTTACTACCTGTCACGAACGGCCAATAGCATGGGCAACGGTTCCACAGACGTAAATCCCTTCATCGCCAAACTCATACCACTGGCCTTCTCAAAACCTCTTGTGTTACAACTCATCCTCGCTCAGAGTGCTGCCCATCGTCAGGCATCAGCAGAGCGACATCCAAGCGATGAGATTGCGCAGAGGTATTACACCGACTCGCTACGGATGTTTAGGAATGTCGTCGATGAGTATGTATCTGGAAATGCCGAGAACACCCTTGTCTTGACAGTCGGCAGTCTTATTATGTGTTTGACTGAGGTCCGTACCATTGATTCTACGACGCGACTGTAGACTAACACGCTGCAGGTTGCCAAAGGAGACATTCACGGCACAATATTTGACCATTTAACGGCGTCCAAGTCATTAGTGAGCACATTGCTCACCGGGACGCAGAACATGGTATACGATGACCTACCTGACTTTCTAATTGAGTACTACATGCATATCGCAGCCACCAGTATGATCTCGATTGATCCCCAATATAACTCACAGTCATTACTCAGCCCCGATATTGAAGTCCGGGCCAGAAACTTGGTCGCCAGGAAGTATGTCGGCCAACTATGTGGCTGCTGGCTCGAAATCCTCATCCTTATATCCCAGATCTTTCACCTAGGACAAGTAATGTCTTCACCGACTGCCGATGGAGAGATCTCACCAAGCCCCGACAACATTGTCAATTTCGCTTTCCTCCAGTCTCAAGTAATGGGCTTCTTCCCAGATCCTTCGGTCACACCATATACACGTCTTGCAGGGCTGGTATGGAAACAAGCTGCGCTCCTATATCTCTGGACAGTCCTCGGGAAACCCCATCAGCAACCTGAAGGTAGCTTTCAACGAGCATTAGTAGAATCAGCCGTCGCCGAAGCAGTTGCATTGCTTGATCAGTTCCCCGCTTCGGTCAGGATAAATACGAGTCTTTGCTGGCCACTCGCTGTTATCGGGTGTAGCACATCAGATCCTACAGTCCAACAGATCTTGAGGACGCGGTTACAAACTATGTTAGACACAATTGGTCTGGGGAATATGAGACAAACACTGGTGCTATTGGAGCATATTTGGGAGCAGCCGCCGGATCAGGTCAGTCCTTGGACGCTATGCAGGGCGATGCGTGAGCGTCAGATCTGGATATCTTTTGCATGAAAGGACACCATTAATCCTAGATACCCGCCTCGATATATAAAATAGAGTCCTTGAGGCACATGCAATTAAGATGCTGTATATATGACGGTGGCCACCAATTCTTTTGACCTCATGAGGAGCCAGTTCGCTGTAGAAATGGCCACATCAACGAGCTCATCTTCAAACCATTGCCATCGCTTGTGAAGAAAGTTCCGTTGTACTTTGTGAAATGAATCGATTTCTATTGTCTAATTGTTTAAAGAAGGAACTCCCAGATCTTTGCAGCCACTAGAAGGCCATCATGATGCGCCCTCGCTCTCGTTATACCCTCCTCATACATCTCCTTTGAGAAGATCTGCTGGGCATATCTGGCCTCCATAATCTCTTGCATGATAAAGTCGTCAAACTCCGGATGAGCCTGGAAAGATATAATACGCCCAGGCTTGTAGAGTCCTTGAACCTCGCACCTTGAGCTGCTGCCGAGACTAACCAGGCCGTCGGGAACTTCGAGAACTGCATCTCGGTGCATTTGATGAAGGCCCTGTTTTTCTATTAGCGAGGTCTCACGGAAAAGATTGATGGTACTTACGAGAGATGAAACACCCAATAGCTTCTGGCCAGTCTCGTTGAGGTTGATTCTATCAACACAAACCTCCCAACCGCCAGGGCTCACCGCAACCTTTGCACCGAGTGCTCGTCCAATGATCTGATGGCCAAAGCAGATGCCAACGATGGGCTTCTCTGTCGTCGTATAAACCTTTTTGACAAACTCAACAAGCTTCAAGATCCAAGGGTCATCAGCAAAGGATGTGTGTTCTGCATCCTGTTAGTTTTTCAGATGTGACTTGATAAAGAAACTTACTGCTTCCGGTCAACAAGAAACCATCAACATCTTCAATGCCTGGGTACTCTTGTGCTGTGACAACATCCCATTTGCTAAGATCCAGGCTCACGTCCTTGCCCTTGTCGCCAACATTCTTGAGACCCTTGGTAAGAAGATCACGAAAGATATCTCCATAAGAACCGCGCTTTTCATTGACAGAAGGAAAAGGCGTATCGCACTCTAGAACAGCAATTCTATATGTTCGAGTCATGATGACGATATTGTGTGATGATAGTGGTTTAGATTAATGAGTGTCGAGAAGGGTTCGTTATCAAAAGATATAGATATTCAACGCCCTTTAATCTACACGAATATCCCCACCAACAAGGAACCTCATGACCACGTCGTTAACAGACGACCCTCATTTTAGTAATGTTAGCCGGGATGGCGGAATGTGAGTCTATTGGTGCTTTATTCGGTCCGCGTTCATAGCCGCGCTTTACCGCGCTCCACAGGACCACATAGGTTTGTACACGTATTGATCTTGAACACTACCTATGATTGAGGAAACGGTGAGATAAGATCTGACAGCTATTTACGGACCATAACTATAAACGAATATTGTTCTATGTAAGCAGTGAGGGGGCATAATACTAGCCGAAGACAATCTGTTTACAGCGAAGGACTAGTTCATTCTCTTCCTTTTTCTTTTTAGTCGAGACAGACTTCAGTGGATTTAAATTAACGTCTATCCTTCTCAAAAGTCTTAAAAAGGACATATACTATTTCCTATTTACGATCACAGCAACTCCTCATCACAATTTGCTTGGCAGTCGTAGGTTGTTCAGATACTGCGATCGGCCTAGGAAACGCGATATTGTCTGACTCATAAATCATATTATGATTGAATGTGACTTATGGAATGGCTTTCTCTTAACTAGAATGGCCTTAAAATTGCTTGAGAAATACATGTAGCATGAACCCTGCATGTATTTACTCTGATCCAATGTAAGTCATACAGTAAGACGCGCTGCTTCAAGTTTCTTACTTTTGTTTGTCTCTTGCTGGCAATAGTAAGTAGGTCACTTTTTGATTAAAACACACATAGTAGCATCTCATTTCGGCACATGATGGTAACAATCAAAGAATGATATCCATCGGTGTTGTGATAATGGAGGCCATGGAACATCAATAACAGCTGTGAAATATCAACCCCGGTTCTTTCGTAGGTTTCAGATAGTACATGACGATTCGAGTTACATCAGACTGCCCTCAGATCTGAGATTTCTCTTGTTCCGGATCTTGACTTCTTGATAGCCAGCTGACAGAAGGATGACCCCAGAAGCGAAACTGGACATTGAATCAACAAAGCAAAAGACTTCGCTGGCTGAAGAGGTCTACTGGAATAACTTTGACTATAAGGCTATTGAGCTCTGACCATGTCGTTGAAAATTCTTTGCCAATTCTTCACAATATCAAACCAGCCACCTCGGAGGCTCAAATGATAAGATCGGATGTCTCGGACATGAACTGATCTATGCCTTGCATAAACCTCGGTAGATCCAATTAACAAGCATTCAGCAACACATTCAATTGCTCAGCTGAATCTGATCCACGAACGTGAACGTGAATGTGAATGTGGATATAACTCTTTGATTCCTTGGATGTCAATCAGCCTCGGCCCAATTGACAAGCATAAAAAAAGAAAACATGAACCAATGAGACAAAAGTTTCGTAACAAAAGCTCCTACGTTTGGATCAATTCCAGGCACTGCCGTTTCTTAGCGCATCAATTAAACAAGTTTCTTGAGTTGAGTGGCCGAGCTAAGTCGAAAGGAGCAAGGATATGGCTGAGAACAAAGAAGCTGTAGACGTCATAAGCATGGCAATCAATCACCACAATGAGTCTGACACTTTAACCGGGAGGGTTAGTGATACACTGATACTGTGCCAAGACCAGGTACTGGGGTTAAAGCAGAGTTCTCAATGGTCTCGTGTGAGCGGGGAGTCGCAGTGAGATCGGTGATGTTGATGATATTATGACGTCCAAACCCTCTCATTTACAGTTCACCCATCATGTACAGTTATCCCTTCCCAGCCTCCCATTGTCCCATTGAGGAGAATTGGGTTTGCTAAATCACTCATTAATTGGCACTAGAGGCTGTACTTAAGGTGCTGCGTCCCCTCGTCGACATTGACCATCTTGTGCTCGTCTACCACCAGGTATCACTATCTCTGACACTCACTCTCTGTGATCGTCAATGGCTCCGCTCAGCTCCCCGCAAGATCTCGGCTTGGGTGCCATCCTCGCCAGGGCCCTCTCTTCTCCAACGCTGTCTCCTCCTCCAACTCTGGTGGCTCGGCAGAACACAGAGACTGTCACTGTTACTGCGTCCGGCGACGATGGCAACAGTGCCCAAACATTGAGCGGAGGCGCAATCGCCGGCATCGTCATTGGCTCAATTGCTGGCTTTCTTCTTCTCCTGTGGGTTGTTCGATCGTGCCTCAATCTGGGCGCACCACCTCAGGAACGGGAGAAATGGTATCACTACAAGGAGGAGCCTCGACGACATTCGCATCATCACCGCTCTCGAAGCAGACGATCACATCGATCAAGCATCTCTGCACCTCCTCCAATTGTTGTCAGAGACTCAAGATCTCGAAGCCATCGCCGTGGACGATCGCCTGGATACTATGGAACTGATCGCGGCACACGATATTACGTGTAAGCCCGACACAACCGACACGACAATAAGCGTTTGCGACAGAGCAGCCTTCGCTTCGATCCCTCGCGATGCTCTTACAATGCATCAATTCAATTGTTCAAAATCGGTCCGATAAGCGGACAGGAGTTACGGCGTATGGATATCATTGGCACGTCATGCAACATCACGACTTATGAGATGAAATCATGAATCACGTCACGACGGAGAAATAAATGCACGTATACGGAGGCATTGGATATACGCGAATGTTTTGATACCATCTCTTGTTACATAACATTGTTATGAAAGCTCGAATCTCCTAACTAATGTTATTACACTGTATGTGATATGCTGAAAAATAAGCATTATATTGTGTTATTCTCATTATATGAGACCTTATTGGCTATACCTCGCGTATTGCTGCAGAGACATTTTATCTTTTCAATAATGATAACCCCAACCACGTCCTCCCATGCGCAACACAAGGCTTTGTTTTCATCATCTCGCACGTGCAATGGGAATTAAGCTTAATTCATAGCGTGGCGCTCGTGTTACCTCGTCAACTTCGTACTCGGGTGAAGCCGTATACGTCAAAGTGACATTTGACAGCTGCAAGACTCGGAGGTAATATCGATGTGCCATGAGCTTCATTTAAACTAACTGCACCCTGCTGAACTTCAGGTCCTCAAATTCAAGCTCCCCATGCATGATCCCATAAACATAGGCGTCGCCAGCCAGACTCAACGACGTTTCTGAACCTGAATCGCGACGAAAGACATGCGGAACTTCAGCACCTTGCAATATACCCACTTCGTCACCGACCTGAATAGCCTGGGGTGCAAGCCCAAGATGACCTTTCTTTGTTCGAAACACACTTCTTTTGTGTGATGCAGAACCCCAGTCAAGCTGTATCAGTGAGGTTCGAGCCTTGAGGCTCTGATCTTGAGACTCTGTGAGACTGTGCTCTAACTCTATTTGCTCCTCTGTTTTGTATAAGTGCCGATAAGGGTGTAGTAGACCTGACAGCAGGTCTCCGTGGTCCTCAATTCCTATCAAAAACAACGCTTTGGAAAGACTGGTGTCGGGACTTCTGAGCAGTTGGTTTGCCAAATCTGGGTTCTTTGAAATGCTCGACCACAGCATGCCGTATGCCATCTCCCCAAATTGACCAACAAAGTCGTATGAATCATAGTCATATATCCCTGCTTGATCTGCCGTCAAGGTTCTAGCCACTACTGACAAAACATTGTCTTCCCCGAACGTTTTGACAGGAAATGGGTTCAGAACGAGATTGAGAATTTCAATCATCTTAGAATAGCCCTCTATATCTTCCCAGTATGCAGTTGTGACGGCAGTAATCGTATCAAAATAAGAACACGGCGAATGGATAGTGTATGGCGAGTTGATATCGTACTCGATGCACACTTGTTGGTGGGTTGCTGTTTTGAAAGAATCTTCACTTCTTCGTTGAAGAAGTCTCCAAGGAATAGTTTGTGTGTAGTCTGGAACCCAGGATGGTAAATTTGGGATGTGGTATCTACTACAGTCTCCGATGTAGCTCAGTCCTCGCCAGCTTGTTGTGTTGAGTAGACAATGTGCTGCCGCTATCGAGAATACCTCTTGGACTGATTTTGAATAATCGACAACCACAGGCTTCATATAATTACCTGCTGTAGTGGTATCTGAATTTCCATTAGCCAGCCGTTCCTTTTCAAAGCGGAGACGAGTTACCGGATATTGCCAGTAAACCATAAACCTTATCTCTAGGATCTGTAGCATGCCTAGCACGGTGATAGTCGACTTCGAATCCAAGTGGCGAAGGAGAAGTTCCATCAACTTCCTTTCTCAGTTTAGCTATCAAGTCGTAGGTGAAATTCATCAGCCACGTAATCGCTGGGGTCCTCTGGATATCTTCGGTGACACTCCTCGACGAGTAACTATCATGTGCAATACTACTTCCAGCGAGGATAACATCCACGGAAGCATAGATTGTCCCGCACACAAATGTCATCTCTCGAGCTAGCCACATCTCTTGAAGTGTCCATGTCCGGCCGAACCATGCATGGTCAGTAAAGAAACGTGTCATTGCTAGAAGTTCTGAGTCAGTGAAGCTGCATGATGCGAATGCTTTGTCCCTAAGAACGACATGTTCGTCTGAAAGGAGCTCCTGGCGGGTGACAGGCAATCTTTGAAAGCAAGCCACTGCCGTCCGGGTGCATTCTCTCTCATGTCCGAGCCATACAATGACTTCCTCGGAACTTTTGTAGATGTTTGCCATCTGAGATACCTGAGAGTTTCGTTCTTCTATATCGTTTTGATTAATGCAAAGAGCATCTATCCATATGGGTTCTAGAATTCCAGATTGACAAAGCGCAATGAGGGCGTTATAAAGGTTTTGTCTGATATGCATCTTGAACCCATCAATGCGGATAGTTCGAGAAGGCTTCGACCAATTCTCATCGGTTTCATTCCCCCCCGGCTCCCCCCAAGTATACGACAGACATTTGTATGTTGGGTTGTCGCCAAGATTGACTACACTCATGAGGCTCGAAACCACGGCATTCTG